GGGAAAAAAATAAATAAATAAAAATTTAAAAAAAAAAAAAAAAAAAGAAAGTACTAATCTAGACTCTGCAGGCTTTGGTCTATCGTCTACACCAATCGTTCCCAAATCTGTAAAGTTTTTCTTTTCATTTTTAAATTGCAAGCTTGACTGGAGGAGCGTTTATCCAAAGTGCAGCAAATATCACTGGAGCTCACAGGGACCCAAATAAACAAAGCTATCCCTACAACCTGGAAAATAAGACTGAACGCTCAGAAATCCTATAACAAACTAGCCTTTTTTTATACATTACTTCCTCTCCCTCCAGCCTTTTCCCCTCCACCTATCCTTTGATCCCACACCTTGCTGCCTCTCACACCCAGAGGCCCCGACCACTGCCTTTGCAGACCTTCCCTGCATGCTTACCCCAGTCTTACTCACAGGTTGGGAGGCTCGGGCATCTGGCGACCACACCAGGGGGAGAGTCACGGCCAGGAGTAGCACGGGGGCAGCTGAACAGACCATGGTTCAGCGAAGCAGTCCTCTGGAGTTCTCCTGCTGCTGCATGATGCAAATTTCCTCAGAGAAGAGCTGGCAGGGCAGTGCAGAGATGGGATGGGAGGGAGGAGGGGAAGGGAGCCAGGGCCGAATTTACAGAGGAAGTGCTACAGCCGTGACTGAGACCAATGGGCATTCAGGTCACTGTGGGGCCACTTGCCCCAGTGAGAGGAGTCTGCCCAGGTTCCCCTTGGGGTCTGGACCAAGGACTCAGAGCAGGAGAGGACTTAGGGGTCCTAGGTCACAACCGGCAATGTGTTGATAAGCCAGATTCAGTCATGTCCACAAGGATCTGGGAAACGGGATTGTTCAGGAACTCCCAGGAAGCTAGATCATCAATCACAGAGCCAGGGTTAGAAAAGACAAACACTAGAGCTGATTGTTATCTTAAAATAATTTCCAGATCAACTTGAGTCTTAAATACAACAAAGAAATCTTGAAAAATGCTAGGAGAAATTATCAAATAATTTCACAAAATAATTTCAAAGTGAGGAAGGCTTTTCTAAGCAAGATACAAAATCCAGAAGCCACAAAGGAAATAAATTAGACTGTCTAAGAAGTTTTAAATTTGGGATGAAAAGCATGTTAGAGTAAAAAGGCAAAAGATAACATATTTGTAGGACTATGATTGAATACAGGCTAATCTTAACATAAGAATTTTTTATCTTACACATCAGTAAGATAGAAAATGGGCAAAAAGTAGGAACTGGCAGTTTAAAAGAAATAGCAATAGTCTGATAAAAATATAAAAACATCCAACTTCAGATATAAGAAAAGCAAATTAAAATAAAAAAAATACTCTTCGTCATCTACCAGTTACCAAAAGACAAGATAGTGATTATATTCAGTGTTGACACAAGTGTACTTGTACATTTGTACAAAATTAGTGTATGAGGATGTTCAGGGCAGAGTTGTTTGTGACAGCAAATTACTTAAACCAAAACGTCCATTCAAAAGGGATATGTTAACTACACTATGGGATTTCCAAAAAACAGAACATTGTTGTGGGGAAAAAAAGGGAAGTAGCTCTATTTTGGAATGAACCCCAAAATATATGATGAAGTTCAAAGTGTATATTATGCTCCCCTTTATGTAAGAAAGAGAATCTATATTAGAGACTTGTGCTTTTTATACCTAGAATATTTCTGGAAGAATACATCAGAAACTTGGCAATTGTTGTTGCTTCTGGGGAAGAGGATTAAGGGTCTGGATGGGTCTGTGTACTGTTCAATATATATATTTTCTAACCATAGGCACATTTTTTTAATTAAAAAAAAGAAAGAGTTTATTTATTTTTTAATTTTTTTGGTTTATTGAAGTAACATTCGTTTATAACATTGTATAAATTTCAGGCGTACGTCATTATACTTCTATTTCTGCATAGATTACATCATGTTCACCACCCAAATACTAATTACAACCCATCACCACACACATGTGCCGAATTATCCCTTTGG